TGCAAATTGGTGCAACCACTTTAGAAAGCAGTATGGAGATTCCTTAGAAAACTTGGAATGGAACCACCATTTGACCCAGTTATCCCACTCCTTGGTTTATACCCAAAGGACTTTAAATCAGCATACTATAGTGATGTAGCCACATCAATGTTTATAGCAGCTCAATTCATAATAGTTTAGCTAGGGAACCAACTTATATGCACTTCAACAGATGAATGGATAAAGAAAATGTGGTATGTATACACAATGGAATATTACTCAGCCATAAGAAAGAATGAATTTATGACTTCTTCTAGTAAATGGATGGATGTGGAGACTATCATGCTAAGTAAAATAAGCCAATCTCCCCCAAATCAAAGGCCAAATGTTCTCTCTGGTATGTGGATGTTAACACACAATGGGGGTGGGCATTGAATTAGACAAAGGGGAATGAAGGGAAGCGAGAGAGATGGGAATAGGAAAGACAATAGAATGAATCAGATATAACTTTCCTATGTTTATATATGAATACACGACCAGTGTAACTCCACAACATGTAGAACTATATGAATGGGATTCTACTTAACATATATCACTATCTATAGTTATGTATCTTTATGTGTCTGTGTGTGTGGTACTAGGGATCGAAACCAGGGTCTTGCACACATTAAGCAAGCAGTCTGCTGCTGAGCTACATCCTCCACCTATAATTTATATATTTTTAAGTTTTACCTGTTTCCTAACTTGTATTTTCCTTCCACTAAAACATCACAAATTCCTATCATTTTATTATCTCATGCATCAAAATATTTACTTCCATTGGTTTTATTATTGTAATAGGGACTCTGAGGCTGCTTTTGCTAAAAGCATGGGCCACACCTGTAATCCTAGCAGCTTGGGAGGCTGAGGCTGTAGGATTATGAGTTCAAAGCCAGCCTCAGCAATTTAGCAAGACCCTGAGAAACTTAGTGAGACCCTGTCTCTAAGTAAAATATAAAAAGGGCTGGGGATATGGCTCAGTGGTTAAGTATCCTTGAGCTCGATCCTGGGTCTTTGTCAGAGTGTGGCCACATTGAGAATAAGCTCCTTTCCTGTGTTCCCCAGCACCTGTCTGTGACAGGGGTGGTGGCTGAGTCTGACCTGTAGGACCCCCAGGGTTAGTATCCCCCAGCCTAGGAATTCAGTGACACGATGACTTATAAATGTTTATGTAAATGTGATTCACACTGCACCAACTACTATACTATAAATATGTTTCCTTTTTTGGTATAAACTTATTTTCCCCAAGGTTAATGGTTAGCTCATACTTTATTTTATTTTATTTTTTAAATATTTATTTATTTTTTTAGTTGTAGTTGGAAACAATAACTCTATTTTATTTATTTATATGTAGTACTGAGGATCAAACCCAGGGCCCTGCAAGTACTAGGCGAGCACTCTACTGCTGAGCCACAACCCCAGCCCTCATGCTTTATTTTTATATATTTATCATTAGGCTTACACTTTCCAACTGTTCTTGGATTTCCAATCCCGTTACACATATTAGACAATCTATCCCTCTTTTTCCTTTGTAACCCTTCCTGAAGCCCCCCTTTCCTCCTGTTCCGGTTGCCTATGTTTTCTCTTTGCCTACCACATAGCTGACATCCAGAAATTTTAATGTACTCCAGCACTGCAGCTACTGGCTTCCTTCATTCCTGTTTTGCTTATTTGTTGAAGTATATTCTAAAGGAATTTTCTAAGTAAAATATTGCTGATTAAAAAAAGAAAAAAGTCAGATGCCACTGGGTCTGGTGGTGCACCTCTGTAATCCTAGACAATTGGGAGGCTCAGATAGGAGGATCACAAGTTGGAGGCCAGCCTGGGCAACTTAATGAGGCCCTGTCTCAAAAACCAAAAGGGGCTGGGGTGTATCTCAGTGGTGGAGCACCCTGGATTCAATCCCTGATGCCAGGAAAACAAAAACAAAAAAAATTCCTAATATGTTCTTTTATTTCCCATGTCCTAAAGAAAGATGTAAAAACAGAAACAAAAACAATTTTCTAGCAGAGTATGGCTTATTTGAGTCTATCCAAAGTTTTTACAGTAATTTCATAGACAAAATAATTGAATGAGACAAATTATCAAACTACAGAAGCAAATAAAATTGGGAACATTTAAAAAGGCCAAATCAATGTTATTGATCAATATATAATTGGCAAGAAGAAATCATCAGACTTCAAGGGCAGAATTATCTACTGTTTATTGATTGACTGATTCATTCATTTACATGCTGAGGATTGAACCCTGGGGATCCTTACCACTAAGCTACATCCATACTACTTTTTATTTTTTTGAGACAGTCTTGCTAAACTGCTTAGGCTGGCCTCCATCTTGCAATATTCCTGCCTTAGCCTCCCAAATCTCTAGGATAACAGGAATATGCAACCATGCCTGGCTTAGCATTAGCAATTTAAACTCTGGGGAGAAGCTTTCAGACATGACGGCTATCTCTCCCACTCATCTCTTCCACCCTGCAGCCTTTTGACCCAGTCCTTAGTCTTCCCTGTTGCCACCAGCATTTGCTGACTGCTTTGCAAGACACAATTATCTGACCTTTCCTGCTGCTCTGCCAGTTTACTGGCCCACCTAAGGATAAAAGTAACTGCCCAATGACAAGTCAGCTGTGATAACTGTATTGTTGGAATTACTCCATGCACAGTTTTAATTAAAACAAACACACGGAGCAATTGGAAGGCGCTGGATGCGGGACACGAGTTTCCTGGGTTTGTGTCTAAAGCCTTTGGGAGCACATATGCTCTGTATCCGTAAGTGTGAAGATTACAACTGTCAAAATCTCAAAGGATTCCATAATTTTTTTAATAGCACATGTTACAAAATAAAAACAACTCACAAGATTAACAAGAGAACATTCTGAAATCACACTTCATCATCTTCTTAAAATACAGAAATAGAAAAAAGAAGGAACTCTTTCAAAAGTATGTTAATAGTGGCAATTTGGTTGAAATGAAGTGTTAAATCTACATGGGAAAGTGTGTGTGCATGTGTGCGTGCGCATATGCACATGTGCATTTGTGCGCACACATGTGTGGTATTGGGAATCAATCTCACAGGCATTCTATTACTGAGTTATATCCCAAGCCCTTTATTTTTAATTTTAATCTATATTTTTGGAACCAAGGATTGAACCCAGGGGTGCTTAATCACTGAACAACATCCCCAGACCTTTTTATTTTTTAATTTTGAGACAGGTTCTTGCTAAGTTGCTTAGAGCTTTGCTAATTGCTGAGGCTGGCTTTGAACTTGCAATCCTTCTGCCTCAGACTCATGAGCCTCTGAGATTACAGACATGCACCACTGTGCCTGGATGCAAGTCCTTTATTTTTAAGTTTTTATTTTGGGACAGAGTCTCACTAAATTGCCCAGGCTGACCTTGAACTTGTGATTATATCTGGGTCTCAGCCTCCTGAGTAGCTGGGATTACAGGTGTAAGCCAAAATGTCTAGCATGAGCTCATTTTCATTTCAGGTACTTTTAAAATTTAGCTAATATTTTACTTTTAAACTATATCTTTTGGGGGGTATGTGTATGGGGATACTGGGATTAGACCCCCAGGGCCTAGCATGTGCTTTACCACTCAACTACACTCCAGACTCAAATTGTGTTTTCTTAATTCTATGTGAACAAGGTAGAGCCGAACAAATTATAGCAGCATGTGAAAATACCCACAATGCCAGATTTTGCTAAGAGACTTTTCTTGTCGTGGTTCCCATAGGAGGTGATGTTCTCTTACATTCCCTGTGACTGACAGCTCTGAAGCTCAGGCACTGCACTTGTGATGCGTGCCTCTAGAGGTCAGTAGAACTCGAAGGACAAGGGAGTACAGCAAACCAGCAAACGGTTCTCTAGGGGTGTAGGGAGGACTATGAGGCAGCTACAGACCTAAGTTCTCACAGAAAGTGAGAACAGCAACAAGGAGTTGAGGAGAAACAGAACCAGGCCTGTCCACACAGTGTTTTGCTTTGCATTCAACAGAAACTTGGAGACCCAAATAATAGACTGGGCCTACCACATAAATTCCCTTGAACTAATATTGGGTCTATCACATAAACTCCCTTGAAACCAGTGACAGTATTTTCGTGATTTCCCTCATACATGCTGAAGCCATTTGCGGTTTTTAACATCTGCCTTAGCACTTGGGGCCTGTATCACTCAGACGTCAAACTTAAGCACCACAAATTGGTTCTCCCAAATGGAATGGGTTTTCAATCCAAGCTTCTTATTTTAAGGCTAGACTTATCTGAATGGCTGGTGGTGGGTTTTGATCTTTTTTACCTATAAACCATTTTATACTACCTCTGCAGAATAGTGGTGATTACAATCCTATATATTTGGGGATACTCACTAATGAAACTTGCTGACAGTATGCTGCCTCTAGACAGCTGAAACATAAGTGGAGGTAATTAATGGTACACTTTGCTTTGACTTCCTGGTACATTTCTCTGTGCCTCTGGACAATACTCGTGGGGACCACAGCTGATCAATAACTGTCCGCCTTAATTGATGACCACCATGCACCAAGAGCTTAACCATGTTGGCAATCATGTACGCTACTGGAAAAGCAGTATTGTATTCTTCTTCTCCTTTAGAAGGACAGGAAGAAAATAGCATTTGGACAGTCTAGTACAGTCTTTGGATATAAAAAAGGAAATCATTTCCTATTTCTTGCAAACTTGGATTTACAAAAGAACGCTGGAAATTAAAAGCCTTGTTGATTTATCATGTGAAGCAAAGAGTAATTTCTCTCCCCTTGTTATGCTTTCATATAATCATGCTCACTGCCTGTACGGGTGGCATTACAGAATTTCTGAATAAAAATAATACTTTCTTGCTTTCAACCTTCATAATTCACATCAGCAGGCACCCCGCTGGGCGGTGATGCCTACTGCCAGTGACGCTCAATCTTTTCTGCCAGCCACTTATCTGCCTCGCGCAGCTGCACGTCCCATTGATCACAGTACCTGCAGGATAATGCGCCCGTAGGCGTTCTTCAGCAGATTAACCACATCGGCATGAGACAGCCCATCCAGAGGTTGCCCATTAATGCTGACAATCCGATCTCCAACCTGGAAATATAAAAGTGGTGGAAAATCACTATCATTAAAAAAAATTAAATTTGAGAAGAATGCTGAAAATTCTTTGTAAGTCATATTTCCCATTTGTGGCTATTGTGATGACTCTGTGTTTCGACTGTGTGTGTGCCTGTTAGAGAAGCACGAGGAATTTTTATGGCTTTCCCCAAATATAGACGAATTGGAGAAACAAGAAGGGGGTCAGATTTGATTGCTGAAAGGCACAGTAGGTCACTTTTGTGTTTTGGGAATTGTGGTGTTTCATACATCCACTTGCCGGTAATAGTGGGGTGCACAAATTAACTGTTCAATAAAGCTCTAATGAGGGAGCCAAATATTTTCTGCTTTATTTTTCTACTTCAGTTAAGATTAAGGTGGAAAAGGAAAAAAAAAATCATAAAAATGTTGATTCTTTTGGTTGGGGGAAGATTCTAAGGTCAAGTCTCTCTGAGCTGAAAACCAATTTTGAGTAGAATGGAGTGCTAAAATGGGTTTGGGGAGGTTTGCAAAGGGGCTGCAATTTCTTCTTTTATGGAGAAGCTTTGATACAAACAATAACATTTTTATATGCCCAGGGACCTAATGATCTCAGGTATAAAGTTTCTCTAATGCATTTTGCCCTCAGCACGGATCTCTGATGGCTTTTGGATTCCAAGTTTCAACGAGGTCCCCATGGCTGCACCTTCCTCCCCCCACGCCATCATGTGCCATGCTGTCAGCCCTTAATCCATTCCCCCTCTTGCTTACTTTAAGCTTCTGTGTACGTGCAGCCACTCCGCTGGCCTGAATCATGGCAATAAATATAGGGATATCTCCTAAGGGACTCCCTTTTCCTCCTGCAATACTGATTCCAAGGGCATCGCTGAGCTCCTAAAAAAGAAAGAAAACAGAACACTTGAATGTTCAATAAAAAGCCATAACCTGATTGTCCCCCAAATGCTGTTGAACAAAACCCCTCCGTGACACAGGAGGCCAGGAGAACATGTGAGTTAAGCACGGGGCCTTTGGAGTCAGAGGTACCGAGATTTCAATTCTAGCGCTTAGCTGTAGGGTCTTGGAGAAGTCACTCTCTTAGGAGTCCCACCTCTCCGTACAAAATGGGAAGAAGACTGCAGCGATGGCTGAGGGTTAAGTGCAGTGCGGTTCTGGCCTACAGAAAAGGCTCAAGAAAAGGCAATAGTGGGAGTAAATTTAAAAACAAACAAAAACCTGCTCAGTACAGTGGCCAATTCTGAGGCAGCCTTGGCAAGTGTGCTCTCATATGGTGTTTATGATTAAACTGCCACACATATGCTCTTCTGGGTGTGAACAAACACACTTGGCTCCAGAAGAGCTGTGCAGTTGCATTAAAACAAAGGATCTTAGGGGACACCCACTGTTGTGACAACAGTTTGGAGAGGGAAGCAAAATGTTACAGAAAGTGCTCCCTAAGATGGACTCTGGGGAAGAGACTTGGCTTCTAGACTTATTTGTACCACAGGATTAATATTTTCCAAATCACTAGAAGAACAAATGACAAGTCCCTGTTCCGGCACGGTGGCATACACATTTCTCTTCTGCTCATTACAATGAAGTCTTTATCAAAAGTATAAAGAACTACTACCTGCAGCCTCTGAAATGTAAAGAAACCAATTAAACTGTGGTGGTGAATGAGAACTTGGGGGAATGAGAACATTCTCCTGGAAGCTCTGCCCAGAATGTGGTTCCCCGTCAAGGAGTGCAAAAGGTGGGGTGAAAGGCTGAAGTTCTCTAGAAACTCATTTTTCTGGCTAGAGGAACAAGGAAAAGGATCTCCAGGTGGCTGGAGAATATGGCAGGAAAACCAGCATGGAAAAAGCTGGAAAGCTGGGATTCCCAATTCTGCAAATAAACCCACAAAATTCTCAGGCTCAATTCTAAGCTACATATATGTGGGATGGTCACATATAGGCATAGCATGGTTTCTAGAACAGAACTGGGAGTTGAACCACCACCTACAAAAGGTGAGATGGAACTTGCATTCTGTATTATTGTGGGGTTTTGTTTTGCCATGCTGGGGACTGAATTCAAGGCCTTGCACATGTTAGGCAAATGCTCTACCACTGAGCCACATCCCCAGGTGGAACTTATATTATGATAGCTAAAACATCAGCTTTCTTTAGCGTCCATACAATGTAATACTCATAAGGTTCAGGGTAAAATACTAAATTAGTCAATCTGCAAAAACCCAGAAAAATGTGACCAATTTTCTTTTGATGTCCTTTAGAATATAAAGGACAGCTGAAAGCAAAATTTATAACTCTGTTTATTTAGATATATTTAGCATGCATGACGTCTTGGGTTTGACCCCTAGCACTATAAAACAAAAATACAAACAAAACAATTTATAAAGATGTGAACATATGATAAATTTGGTCTAAATGTCAGTGGTGGTGTGATAAAAGGGACTGGATGACTGCAAGGCTTCTGTAGTTTAAATTAATCATTTAAATATATACACAGATTAAGCTGGGTACAGAGGCACACACCTATAACCCAGTGACTTGGGAGATTGAGATAGGAGAACTGCAAGTTCGAGTCTAACCTCTTCAATTTGGTGAGATGCTGTCTCAAAATAAAATATAAAAAGGGCTGGGGGAGTGGCTCAATGGCAGAGTGCTTGCCTAGTGTGCATGAGGCCCTGGGTTCAATCCTCAGCACAAAAAAACAAACAAAAATTCACCAAACCAAACCTTACATCATATGTATTATAAATTTTAAAAAATAGTATTTACTTTTAAAAATATTTATTTTGTTTATTTATATGTGGTGCTAAGAATTGAACCCAGTGCCTCACACATGCTAGGCAAGGGTACTGCCACTGAGCCACAACCCCAGCCCCCTATACTTTGTTATTAATATCAGTGCTGCCATGTCACACCTGTAATTCAGGATGATGGCAATGCTGCCCTCTCATCACAGGTAGCTTACATCCTGTTGTCACAGCATCTGTGTGTTACATGTACTTCCTGATTGTGCCCATAGTCAAGTCTTGTGTACCAAATGGTAAGACACATTTTATTATGATGTGTGCTTGGACACTGTGTGGGAGAATAGGGGTGGTGTAAGCAGGACTTATTAGAGAAGCCTGTAAAAACAAAAGACTGAAATATAAAATGTTTTTAAAATCTTGAAATGATGAGAAATTTATAAAATAATTTGGGTTTAACTCCATTGTAATGTGTCCTTAACTGATCCATAATTATGTGCTTTTTGGTACATTTAACTTCCCCATCATAGGATCATCTGAGTCGCTGCTCTGGTGAAAAGATACTGGGAGCAAATAAGACTGACTTAGTCCAACAATGACCATAATAACCCATGCCACTTTGTGGGCATTCATGGTATACTATACCATGTGCATTTCCTCACTTGGTCCACACAACTATATGGGCATTAAAGGGAAGTCAGTATTATCAACCCCATTCTATAGATGAGAGAGTTGAGGTTGATCATAAAGTTAATGTTATGGACTAAATTGTATTCCCCTTAAGACTCATATTTTGAAGGCCCAAGTACCAGTGCCCCCAAATGTGAGTGTATTTGGAGAGGTCTTTAAAATGAGGGGGTTGGGTGGGCCCTTGTCTTTATGAGGATGCTGACTCCATGGTTTCTTTGTGAAAGAAGAAGTTAGGACATAGAAGAGAAATGGGGGTGGATGATGAGACAGAGAGGTCACTGAGAAGGCTAGGGAAAAACCAAAGCTGCTGGTACCTTGACCTTGGACTTTCAGCCTCTGGAACCATGAGAAAATAGATTTCTGTTGTTGAAGACACTCAGTCTGTGATATTCTGTTATAACAGCCCCCATGAACAAATACAGACAAATGAATAAATATAGCACTCCTCAACAGAGATATGAGAGAGTCCAGAGAACAGTCACGCTGGACATCACCTTACTGTGGTTGACTATTATGATTACAACACAGTCAAAATTTTTTAATTACTTTCTAGTGTAACAAGTTTATAAACTGAGACGCATCTTATGCAATCTTCTCAAAAGGGCAATTTAGCAACACATAAAAACCCTAATTAACAAGCATGGCATTTCTTTTGGTGATGCTAGGGATTGAATCCAGGACCTCGTGCTTGCTAGGAAAGTGTTCTAACACTGAGCCATGCCCCCAACTCCTAAGCATGGCTTTTGATCCAAGAGGTTCACATAGAGGAATTAATCTTGAGATTATTAAAAACAGTGAAATAAATGACTTACTCTGATTATCTCAACAGTCCTTGGTCCCATATCTGTGCCTATATAAATAAAGAAGCAAGACCATTAACTTTGTAAAATTCAGAGACAATATATTTAGGATATATAATACTCTCCCACAAAAAATGGCACCGTTTTCTAGTCCTTTCAAGAGAGGATGCTGGAGCCTGCAGGCTTTCCCTGCTCTCCACTTCAGCCTGGCAGCAAGCCCTCAGGGCTCTGTCCTTTATTTTAAGGAAGTGCTCTCAGTTTGAGATAGATGCGGCCATCATCATTTGGACTGCAGCAGCGCTGCCTGAAGCAGGGTGATCAGGGCTGGGAGGTGAGCCCCAAGAGTGCTTTGTTGTATACTTTTCTTTCCTAATCAAAGCTAGCCCTCCACCCAAGGAAAGACTCACCAAGACCCTTGTGTCTGCTCTGTCCCTAGTGGAGTATGCACCCTCCTTTGCCCCTCCCCAAGTACTGGGGATTGAACCCTGGGGCATGATACCATTGGGCCACATCCCCTGCCCTTTTTACTTATTGACACAGAGTCTCACTAAGTTGTTGAGGCTGGCTTTGAACTTGTGACCCTCCTGCTTTAGCCTTCCAAGTTGCAGGGCTTGGGGCATGTGCCACTGTGTCCAGGTGGCCATGTGTACTTCTGACCTCCCCCTAGTGACCTGTAATTTATTATTCACTTTGTAAAGAGCTACACACACTTTCCTCATTATTACAGTACTAAGGATTGAACCCAGTGTCTTGTGCATGCTAGGTAAGTGCCCCACTATTCAGCTACACCTCCAGCCCAATAGCTGTGCTTTCTGATGCACTTTAGTTCTGCTTCTGTTGTTCATGTGATCTGTGTACTCTTAAGGGCACACTCCAAACAGGAATCTTCAGGGCTCTCCTCTGGCTAGGATAGACCTTTCTGAAAAGGTGGCTTATGTGGCCAAACTCAGATTCAACATTTAAAGACAAGATTTTTTTAAAACCCTAATATTTTTTTAAAAACTGGGTAACAGGAAGTTTCGGCTGGTGGTGTGTCCACATGATACCTGAACTTCTCTGGGAAGGATCTGGAGTTCTTTTGGTGCCAACCAGGTTCTGTAGGCCAGCAATGACAGGGGCCAAGGAAGGCCGACAGCTGCTGTGTGTGCCGTGCGGATCCCCCTAAAAAGGAGAACCAGTGGTCACTGAGGGCAGACGCTGATTTGACCCTGACAATTCATGCTTATCATTAGTGAGCCTGTTGCTGAAGTCATCAGAGCCATGAAACAGAATTCTGAAGAGGCCAAGACAGACAACTAAAATATTCATACCCAGTCTTTCACCACTAAAGCCCAGTCCCATCTGAACCTTTCCTCCACTGTTTCCTCTATTATATGTACTTTTATATGTGATTTCAATCAGGGGAGAAAAACTGCAATCATTTGAGCTCCCCTTATTCCACATAAAATCAAAAACATTTTCCTTGGTTGCCACATAGTGTTTATAATGGCCAGCTAATGTGTCATTTGTGGCTACAATCAGCGTGTATTCCCAGATTACCCAAACTGTCTTATGTATTTTGCTAAAACAACTATGATAAAAATCTCAATTAACAAACATTTGACCACATGGAGCCCTTGATTGTAGGATAAAGCAGCAAATACAAAGGGAAAAAGGTTTATTTTAGGTATATATTACTTTTTTCTCAAAAAATTTCCTAGAGTCAACAGTAATTTAATCTAATCTGCTGTAACTATGTTACCTGAACTTTTAGTCATTTAAATAAATATTTGAGGTCTACAATGCATAGTCATTTATGGCTAATGACTCTTAATAAAAATTCAAAACATAGTGAAGACCCTCTCTAACATAAACTATTTCATTAATAATGAATATTTTCCGTACCAAATTATCGAAAACCATGTCTAACTGCATTGACATTTTAAGATAAGCCAAAAATAACTATTATCAATTGATACATTATAATCTGATTCATTTCTTTAACTCTATGGTACAAGATGTTTAATATCTTAACATTTCTTAAGTATGAAAAATTTCAAATACATCAAAAGATTGGAAGAGTTATGGATATCCATAACCATATTACCTAGATTCCATAATTGAAAAATTGCTATATTTTCTCTCCCCAAGCCCCCCCTTTTTTTTGGTGGTGGTGGTACTGGGATTGAACCCAAGGACGGTCCACCTCTGAGCTAACATCTCTAGCCCTTTTCATTTTTTACTTTTGAGACAAGGTCTTGCTAAGTTGTCCAGGCATCCAGGCTATTGCACCAGCTATATTTTCTTTATTTCACATCATCTATTCATCAAGTGACTCATCTATTTTTTGTTTGTTTGTACCAGAGATTGAACTCAAGGGCACTCATCCACTGAGCCACAAACCCGGCCCTATTTTGTATTTTATTTAGAGACAGGGTCTCACTGAGTTGCTTAGCGCCTCGTTGTTGCTGAGGCTGGCTTTGAACGCGTTATCCTCCTGTCTCATCCTCCCTAGCCGCTGGAATTACAGGCATGTGCCACTTCACCCAGATGACTCCTTTGTTTTTAAAAATTCATTTCAATGTAAGTTGTAGATATTAGCACACTTGAGGATGGATACATTAAGGAAGTACAGCACATTGTAACTTCTGCCCCAAAACAATCTCAGAATAATGTATTTGCCAAGGCCTTTATTAATTTGGACTTGTCTGGCTGTGTTCCCTCAGTTACATGAGGAAAGGATTTCTCTGATTATCTCAACAAGATTTTTCTTAATACATACTTTCCTCTTTAGAGTTGAGATACTTCCTCCTGCTTGGCAGAAAAACCCATTTTTAAAGAGTGTCAGTGGCCCCAAGGCTACAAGCTCTCTCCTGAGAAACCCACTTTCTATGGATCAAATCACGAGTTATGGAGTTACCATTCTCCTTAATCCCCAACAGGTGGCATCTTTCTCTCTACCTTATAATTGCTCAGAAGGAAAGCTGTGCCCCTGGAAAGTCCTGACTGCTTTCAATAGGTCTGGAAGTGAACACATTTGGGAATGGAATTCTCTTTTTCTCCATCAGGGTCATGGGCTTTGACTCATGATAATGGAAAACAGTTCCTTTTCACAGTCAACTACAATCCTACAAATAGGGTGGATTCTCATATATTTCACCCATAATTATAAGGACAAGGTGATGACAAAATACACTTTTAAAAACACTGAATTAAATTTCTATCCCCTAAACTAAAAATTCTGTGCAAGAAAGTTAGGGAGAAGCATTTGAGGGCTGGGATGTAGCTCAGTGGTAGAGCGCTTGTCTAGCAAACGCAAGACCTTGAGTTCAATCCCCAGGACTACTGCCCCCCTCCCTTGCAAAAAAAAAAAAAGAAAGAAAGAAAAAAAATGTATTTGACACTTTGTCCCAGGTTTTCAAATCTGATAACTTATATATCAATTATGATGATGCTCACATATTTTCCTCAAGAAAGTCAGAAATCTAGCTCTTCCTACCATCCCAGCTGTCATTCCAAATTTCTCTTAAAACACACAACCTCCCCTTACCTCAGTGGGCCTTTGCATACTACTCTGTCTAGGTTGCAATTTTTTTCCCCTCAAACTCCTTTAGAAGTGATACCCAGTGGAACCTCCTCAATAGCTCTCTCATAATCTGGCAAGAAGAAAAATCTCATTTCCAGAGTGGTTCATTCTGCGTTCTAGTCTCCTGTGTACAATGAGGCTTTAATGAAATCATTTCAACAAACATGAGTCTTCCATTCAGGGAGAGGCCTGAGACAACTACTTGCACCCTCAGTGCCCACTGTCTATACAGGTATGGTCAGAACCATCACCAACTAGTCACCCATGGGATTCCACAGCAGCACCATGTCTTTCTTCCTATATTTGCTGCCCATTATGTATGCCAGAAATGACAGGCCAGCCTGTCTGTGAGCCCATCTGAACAATATTTTTCCATGTCCATTTTGGGACAGCAATAAATCTAGCTAATATCCTTCGGGAAGCACCTGTTGTGCTAACAAAATCAGAACATCTTCTGAACAAAGGTCTGGGAGAGGCTCTGTGTCAAAGGTGACCAGGGAGGGACTAAAAGCCATGTTTTTAACTTCAAAACAAAGGCCTGTCCACAAGGAGACCAAGGACACACATGCAAGTTTGTATGGCTGCACTTTGTATCAATGGGACTAAACATACAGTCTGCAATCTTGATTGTATCAGCCATTATACAGAAAAAAATACAGTGAAATATACTTTGTTTAAAGAAAGTGGCACTTACATCAGCCTTGTACATAAACATAAGATGTTTGCTAACCCACAAAATATCACCCACTAAGGCCTCCCTCCCACGGGAGAAACCCTCACACCTCATTCTCCTAGGACTATGCCATTAATTGCCCTCAGCATGTGTGAGGGGCTATTCACAAGTTAACTTTATAGCAATATTTAATTGAATGAATAGAACAATGTTGTGCTAATGAGGGTCAAATTGCTACCAGATGTTGCCTTTTTTTTTTTTTTTTTTTAAGTAAACACAGCTGTGTGCCTAGGCAATATAGACTAATAGAGGGAGAGGAAGGGTTCTAAGAAATATTTGCAGGCAATTAAGGACAGAAAAATCTAGGAATTAATGAATTTCCATCCCACCTTTCATTTTTATTTCAAACACATGAAAACACACTGCACTTGGCGTTGTGAACACGCTGAATATTAGACATTATTCTAACAATTGTTTATGAAATGAGGAACTTTCCCCCAGCGGGAGCAGGACAGGGAGGCAGTGTGCTGCGAAGCCATGGACCACCTGACTGTTTGGCGATGTCTTCCTCGAGGAGGCCCAGGAACCGGCTCGGAGTCTTCCAATCTCGAGCTGCACAAGCCCCTGTGCACACTTGGGAAGAACGGAACAGAAATGAAAAGCAGTAGCATTCAGGTTCTCAAACACTAGAGCAGAACCTCTACTCATCTCTGCAGCTAGAGTCATGAAAGAGTTGCGAAGGCAAAAGGCACAACCGAGACACCATCACCCAAAAGCCTAGCAGAGTGACGGCTCTAGACACAGTGGCATTCACATCATGGCTTCCCACATGCACAGAAAGGACCAGATTCTAATTCACCTCTTTTCTTTCTCCCTTCTGATGAAAGTACTCATGGACAGAGAAATCATTCAGAAAATGAGGTGAAGAGGACAGAAAAATCAGGCATGGCAGCCCAGGGACTCACCTTGAGTACGGTGGCCACCGTCTCCTGAGAGGCATTTCTCATGTCCTCTCCATTCACAGATAGGATCTGATCTCCCTGAATCAACCTCCCATCCAGGTCTGCAGCTCCACCTTTCACGATGTCAGAAATAAACACTCCGCTTCCATTTCTGTTAATACCATTAAGTGGTGGGGTTACAGGCAAACCTCATACTTCTTAGTTAAAAACTGAGATGGTTAACTTTCTATATAGATGCACTAAATCCTAAAATTTGGCAGAAGGGCCCTATCAAACGATCAAAGCCAATGCTTCCACTTACTTCCCAAATAATAAACTGCAGCATGCCACTCTTTAGTTTATGCTCATTTATTCTGCCTCCTGCATATTAATTTTTATTGGTCCAAGGACATACTTATTTGCAAGGTGAAAATTTTAGTGGAGTGAAATGGAAATTTACTTTAAAAGATGGAGATAAGTACTCTTAAAACCAACAGGTTATTTCTCTAGAGAAGATAAGCTAACATTTGATATATTCTATTTGATCTAGTTCTAGTCTTCTCACTTTTTTCTTGCCTTTATTTTTAAAGACCTAATAACATGTATTTGATGAATACACAAATTTATATCTCAAAATTCGACAGGTTAAAAAGTATACACCTTTAGTTTTCCTCTCACTTCTGTTACCAAGTTCCTTTCTCAGAGGCAACCCACATTACCTGTTTCTTGGGTAGGTAAAAGGAATATTTTGTTTACACATAAGCAAAATGCCCATGCAGAGTACATAAGTATATATGAGTGACCATACACAGATTTCTTTTTTTTCTTTCACTTAATAATACAGCTTGGCAATTGTGTGTGTGTGTGTGTGTGTGTGTGTGTGTGTGTTTTAAAGATTAAACCCAGGACCCCATACCTGTTAAGCATCTGCTTTACCACTGAGCTACAACCCCTGCTCCAACTGATCTTTATTACACTTGGAGCTTCCTCATTGTTCTGTGGCTACATACTATTCTGTAGGCGTTCCATAATGGACAAATGGGTTATTTCCACTCTTTAGCTACTGCAAACAATGCGCAATAAATACCTGCAAGGATATTAAGATAAACTCCAAGGCATGAAATTGTTAGTGAAAGGGAACTGAATTTTGAGAGAGATACATCTGATTCTTTACAATTCAAGTTTTTGTACTAAGAAATATAAATCTTCTTACAAATTCAACGTGAAATGATGATGCTGTATGAAGATGATTATTTCATCAATCTACCACATGATAATAAAGCAAAGTCATTACTCTAAATGGAAACTCCCCTGGTATGTGTATGTCTCAGGACAAGAAAGCAAACTTCAATATTTCTCTGTCAGTTGCTCTGCACCCACATGTGCATTGCTTTTTGTTTAGTAATGTAAGAGATTAAGCATTTTTGTTTTGAAATGCATTTTCAGAGTGATGGTTTTATTGTGCTGAAGTAAAAATGTCATGGTATCATGACAGCACAGTACTCAAAAATGGGGACTGGCTGGGTGTGGTGGTGTACATCTGTAACTCCAGCAACTCAGGAGAATGAGAAAGGAGGCTCATGAGGTCAAAAGCCAGCCTGGGTGACTTAGCAAGACACTGTTTCCAAAACAAAATAAAAATACAACATAAAAAGGGCTGGGGATGTGGCTCAGTGCTTAAGTGCCCCTGGGTTCAATCCCAGTACCAAAAAAAAAAAAGGGTGTGGGGACAGCTAATACTGCTGCGTATTGGACTGCTGCATAAAGGCATGAGAGTCACCAGAGGTCTTTGAGGGCACATGCCATGACATCTATAACATGGACTTAAATTCTTCCCATGACGATGTTCAAGGCAATCTAAGGCCATACAGGCATATCACCTAGAATTTTTGCAGGCTAGTTACCCAAACCAGTAAACCATGGAAGCTAGGATGACAGTTTTGTGATATTACTTTCCTTTCCAATTCAGTGTAAGAGAAACTTCCTAATGTCATCCTGGAACAATTACTCTAATTCCTATCACATTGTTAAGCAGTACAGACTTGGAGCAACCTAGCCACCAGGATCCATCTGTATTTTTGGTGCAAACTATTATTTTGGGGACATCTTTCCTTTCTTTTCCCTTCCTCCCTCCCTGCCTTCCTATCTTTTCTAATGGCATTAGGGATTGCTCTCTACCATCCAACTATATCCCTAACCCTTTTTATTTTGAGACATGGTCAATTTGCTGACGTTGGCCTCTAATTTGGGATTTTTTTTCCCACAGCCTCACAAGTAGCTAGGGTTATACGTGTAAGCCATCACATCTGGGGACATCTTTCTGAAAAGAAAACTACTATCATGCTTGCCACTCAACTATGTCTACCAACTAGTTTAACACAGTATGAAATTATCATGATGCTCCATGCCAGATCAATTTTCTTAATCTAATATTGTATGAATCAACCTCTTAACATGAGCTGTTTTCTGGATATAGTTGTATTAACTACTCTCTACAAGCCTCCTCCCTAGGTATTCCAAGTAGAAAAGACCTTGCTAGCTGTTTTTACTCTAGAAGGAAATAAAATAGATTGGGTTGTTTGGATTTGGAGTTCTATCTTGATATGGTAAGTTTTCTTTTTTGGTAAGATGTTTGGAGGTATGACCAATGAAGTTTACATATTCGTAATTATTTTAGTTTTATTTTGATTTTTTGGTATTGGGGATTGAACCAGGTAAGCTCTACTATTGAGCTATATCCCCACTCCTTTTTCATTTTTTATTTTGATACAAGGTCTTGTTACATTGTTCAATCCGGCCTAGAACTTGTGATCCTCCTGCCTCAGCCTCCTGAGTTACTGGGATTACAGGCATGGGCCATCGTGCCTGGCTACAAGCATCTTAGTTTAGAAATCCCATAATTACTTTATGTCAGGCTTTATCCTTCAGTGTCCATAGGCATTAGTTCTAGAGGTGTGAAGGGAAAGGTCAGTGCTGACCTGCACAGTAGTCCTTACCGTTTCCCAACAATGCTCAGGCCCAGTCCTCGGCCGGCCTTCTTCTGCAGATCCACAGGGAAGATCTCCAAGTTCTCCTCGTCCCTGTAGTGTGCCTCATCGCGGTACACCACCAGTCGCACCTTCTGCGGGGTCTGCCTCAGGGCTGTGATGGCTTCCTCGTGGCTGGAGGTCCTCAGGTCAACCCCATTAACCTGCAACAATGGGCATCCTGTGGTGGCTGCTGACACAGCGCCCCCTCTGCCTGCGGAAGCTCCCTGATCCAACCAGTGAAAAACCTCTAGGAATTTCCAGTCTTTCCCAAAACACACAGGTGTGACCACTAGCAGCACGAGCTGCTTGAAATATGAAGAAGGGGAGTCTTACACAACCCCACCTCACAGAAGCATAGACGGTGGTGGGTGAGTGCACATGATCACGCAATTCACATAGCTGTGAACTTGACTGGGGAGAGGGGGAGAGGACTGAATCATTTGAATTCGGTTAAAGGGAAATAAACAGTGTCAGTCAGCAGTTTTAGACTTAGTTCACTCCTGACTGACATCGTTACTATTTTTTTAAAAATGTTTTAGTTGTAGATGGACACAATATCTTTATTTATTTATCTTTATGCGGTGCTGAGAATCGAACCCAGTGCCTCATGCAAGCTAAGTGAGTGCTCTACCACTGAGCCACAATCCCAACCCCCTCCCCCGATACCCCCCCCCCCCCCCCCACTCTTAATTGCTGTCATCACAACTACTTTAGAATAGTCCTGGAAGAAATGAGGGACTGGTATCTCCAACAGTATCAAAGACCCAGCATCAAAAAAACCCTGAAGGGAGAAAAGAGAATAGACTGTTCCTAAAGAAGGTGATATTGGGCTGTTGTTTAAAGCTGATTCTATGAGCCAAGAAATTGTTTTAAAGCTGACTTTCTTTGTTTTCACAGTACTGAGGAAGGAGCACAGGCCTCCTGTCAGGTTGGCAAGTGCGCTACCAACGAGCTACAACCTTAGCCCTTTTTATTTTGATGCAGGGCCTTGCTAAGTTGCTGAACTTGCAATTCTCTTGCCTCAGCCTTCTGAGTAGGTGGGTTTATGGGCACGTGACACTGTTCCTGGCTTTAAAAGCACAATTTTCAAGCTGACTTTTCTTCTCTGGTGTATCTCAGTGGCCTCTCTACTCACTTAGACTAAATACAACCAGAATAACAGTGGCTAAGGACCTGGGTATTGAATATAGATGGATTTGGAGACAATAGTAATACCTATTTAGTGTTGTGATGACTAAATTACATAAGCCCTATAATGGCTGGGCACGGTGGCACATGCATGTAATCCCAGCAGCTCAGGAGGCTGAGGCAGGAGGATCGACAGCTCAAAGCTAGATCTCAGCAATTTAGCCTTAAGCAACTCAGTGAGACCCTGTCTCTAAGTAAAATATATCTTTATTTCATTTATTTACTTTTATGTGGTGCTGAAGATGGAACTTTTGGTTGTTGTTTTTTTGTTTGTTTTGAGATAGGGTCATGCATGCAAGGTAAGCACTCTACCACTGAGCTACAACCTCAGCCCTCAATCCCTGGTTTAAAAAAAAAAAAAAAAAAGTCCTATGAAGCATTTGGCACAGGGTTTGGCACATAGTCATGTTTAATGTAAGTTAGAAGTTGATGTTTGCAAGGTATTGAAGAAAGCTCAGCCAAGAGCTGTTCTCTGCATGATAATTCCATTTTATTTTAGACCAATGAATGCATTCTCATTGTTTGCAAGATACACACAGGGAACAAAGGGGAAACAATGTCACTAGAAAATGTGCTCTGAGCTGGTTATTTTCCTGTATTCCAATAGATGGCACACAAGATCACTCCTGTTAATTAAAAAAAGAGGGGGAGGAGGGGATCCTCTCGGATGGAAGGTGAACTTTCTAAGCCTCTAAATTCCTTTTGAAAGGCTCTAACAAATATACTTTTAATTAAAAGCATTACCATTACTCTTTAGTTTTACAAAAGCAATTACTAAATTTCTGCATAAGGTGTCTGCTCAGATCAAAGGGATCTCAGTTCACAGTTTTCATTTGCTCCTCTGCTTATCAGGAGGCCACTAAATGTAATAATCACAACAGAAATGCCGCAGTGCAGCCAGAGTGCTGTGGCGTGATGAACGCCCCTGAGTGCCTCACACAAGCACTGCACTGTTTAGAACACTGATCACAGAAGAGGAACGGTGGTAATAGGCAGCTCCCTATTTGAGAAGGATACTCAAAAGTCCCAGATATCAAGAAGAGGGCATCACGTCCTGAGCAGGATGGGAAAAGTAGGTGAACCACTACTTGATAAGAAAAAGATAGCCAAAGCAGGAATGTAGTTCCCCATTATTTTATTCCACAGGGAAAATTAGGCATCAACTCTCTTTCTTTTCCCACTTACACCAGCATAGAAGAGATAATGGTAGTAGGGGTGGGATAAGAGGAAAGATGGACCCAAAAGGAGATTCAGAAAGAAGACAGTGCAACCTCATAGATTCATTAATCTCACCATGCTAAAACATTATTTGACAATATCCTTGGAGGCGAAATCTGCCTTGTCCTAACTTTAACCTGAGGATAGTACTAAAACCATAAGACCAGCCTGCAAAATGGAATCCCATGAGCAGAAGGCCACGGGAAGGTCCTCACATCAGTGCTTGATGAGGGGAACTTATTTCCTGGTCTTAAAATGTCCCACCCAAGCTGGCCAGTAGCCGACTGTGTATTCTGCATGTGTGCATATGGCCAACTGGAACCCATCCAAGTGTGGGGGCTAAGGCTGCTTGGAAAGGAACATGCAAACTCAATTTCCCAACTATACCTATGATATACTATGATGAATTAGATCCTACACTCCCCATCATTAATGAGAAGTATAGAATCCATCCAGATCAGACAATATAATTCTGTGAAATGCCAGAAATGGTAACTTCACCTTCAAATTCTTCTTCCATCTAAAACAAATTTGCCTTCTTCATGCTGTTTTTTTTTTTTTTTTTTTTTCCTGGTACTGGAAATTGAACCCAGGAGCATTCTATCACTGAACTATACTAGCGTTGAATTTGTGATCCTTCTGCCTCAGCCTCCTGAGTAGCTGGGATTATAGGCGCCACCGCACACGGCTGCATGTTAATCATTACTGAATGTTCACCTGTATGTGAATATACTCTATGGAAGAGAGCACCTCTAGCCGAAGGTCTATCCAATACAAATAGAGATGGTTAATATTTTTTTTTTTCTGTTGAGGTATAATTGCTGAAAACTCTATACATATTTAAAATACAATTTATTTTTGGTTCTGAGAACTGAAACCAGGAACATTCTATCTCAGAGCTACATCCCCAACTTTATTTTTTTAAAAATTTGTTCTAATTATTAATTCCCAACTTTTTGTTGTTGTTTGTTTGTTTGTTTTGAGATAGGGTCTTGCTAAAACACCCAGTCTGGTCTTAAATTTGGGATAAACCTGTATCAACTTTGTGAATAGCTGGGATTACAGGTACTTAATGGTCAATTGTGTTTGTGTGTGTGTGTGTGTGTGTGTGTGTGTGTGTGTGTGTTGGGGGGCAGGGACAGGAAGGGAGGGAGATACAGGATGTTGCTATATTGTCCATGTTGGTCCCAAACTCCTGGACTAATTGATCTTTCCACTTCAGCCTCCTGAGTGCTGGGATTCTATGTGGGTATCCTTGCACATGGCTGTAATGTGTACAGTTAATAGTTTTATTTTTTGCAGTACTGAACCCTGGACTGCAAGCTTGCCAGTACTCTAACACTGAGCTCTAGTTTCGGCCCTTTTAACTTTCATTTTGAGACAAGGTCTCACCAAATTATTGAGGTTGGCTCTGGACTTGTGATCCTCCCATCTTAGTCTCCCAAATTGCTGGGATTACAGGCATGTGCCACTACGGCTAGCTTGATGAATTTTGACGTGTATTTATGCTGTGCAGCTATTGCCATACTCAAAGAAAATGAGCATATCAGACTTTGTTTCAAGTGAACATTATAGGACATTGATGAACTTACAATCCATATAAATATAAAAGCATATTTACATCTGCTTATTTTTAAACAGTTAACCTCCTCATTCTCAAAAGCCAATTATAAAAATACCAAATGATCAGAAAATCTAGGGAGGAAAAAATAAAACTCCCAAAACCCCACAACCTCTGTTCACAAAAATATTGTGTTGTAGCTGGGTGTGATGGCACATGCCTGTAATCCCAGCAATTTGGGAGCCTGAGGCAAGAGGGTCATGAGTTCAAAGTCAGCCTCAGCAACTTAGTGAGGCCCTAAGAAACTCAGTGAGACCCTGTCTCTAAATAAAATACAAGAAAGGGCTGGGGATGTGGCTCAGTGGTTAAGTGCCCTTGGGTTCAGTCCCTAGTACTAAAACAAACAAACAAACAAAAGTGAAAAGGACTGGGGATGTGGCTCAGTGGTAAAGTGCCCCTGGGTTCGATCCCCAGTACCAAAACCAAAAAACGAAACAAAACAAAACTGTATTTTATGCTAAAGTTGTCAGGCCAATTCCCAAAGAGGCCTTGCTTATTTTTGTAACCCCACACACTTGTGCCTTAATGAATGTACTGGAACTATGTCTTGATCCAACTCTGAAGCACAACAAAGTCTGCAGAGAAACCCAATAACTTGGCTTCAGTTTAATTTGTAGTTAGGTTGGCCTTTCCTTTAACCCCTTCTTGTCTACATTTTCTGCCCTTAATTATATCTCTGTTTTCATCTTGGGAGGCAGGAATGAACCACCAAGGGGGAAAATAAAACTCTATGATGTCATTTGTAATGTGCTATATTAAAGTTGCAAAGCAAAAATGCACATGCCCACCATAAAATGCTAACTATTTCATTAAATCCATCCAATGAAAGAAATAAATGATACCTTAAGGTTTCACATCATTGGAAAAGCTCTTTAGTTCCACCTACCAGAACGCCTGGCATTGGCTTCCTATTCAATCCCCAGTGCAGACACTGCCTATGCTGGCAGTTTTAAGGCTTTAACAACTTTGCTAAACGAAAGGCAATTTGAAAGAGTCAAGTTCAGCACTTCTTTTTTTTTTTTTTTTTGGTGGTGCTGGGGATGAAACCAACAGCCTGGCATATGCTAGGCAAGTGTTCTGCTGCTACATACATCCCCAGACCTAGAATTTCAATTTTTAATAAGGACTATATACAGGAGAAGGAAGATTCTACTTTTTCATCAACTTGAAAATGCTGATGGCAAGGCCTGGGCTTCTGTTAGGCATAAAGGTTTATTAAGATTAAGAAAATAATATTTAAGCTGCAATTAAAGTCTTCAACATTTCAAGCATATATGCTTATGTGTACGTGTGTCTATATGTGTTTTCAGGAGGGAATTTAGTTAAGGTACAATGGAGAAGCAAAAAAATCTGTTTGCCATATTATCTAGGCCCATGGATATTAAAATGATAGAACAATAAGATGTACTTCCCTTTTAATTAGGTTGGTAATCTGTCATGATTCTAAACCTGAGTTGTTCAATGTACATTAAAAAAAAAAAGAACATGATAAATATTTTGTTAAATGAGTGAGAAATCAGAAAGGGTAGAGTTTAGTAGAATATGGATAAACTGACTTTGTAGATCAAAGTCAGGAAAGGAACTATATTGGTTGTTTTGAGTTTTTTTTGGTATCAGGATTTAATCCAGGGTGCCTAATCACTGAGCCACATCCTCGGTCATTTTTTGTATTTTATTTTGAGCCAGGGTCTTGCTGAGTTGCGTAGGACCTCCTAAGTGCTGAGGCTGGTTTAGAAATTGTGATCTTCCTGCTTCAGCCTCTTAAGCTGCTGGAATTACAGGTGTGTGCCACCCCACCCAGCAAGGAACCATATTTACTGGTATAAAATGAAACTCAAAATTATATACCTCTAATATCTGGTCACCAGCCCAAAGTCTTCCATCTCTGGCTGCTGCTCCTTCTTCATAGACTTCATGTATGACTATAGCATCCTGCAAAAAGCAAACTCTTATTAATTTTCTTTCTTTTTATTTTGAGACAGGGTCTTGCTAAATTGTTCAGGCTGACCTCAAACTTGTGATCCTCCAGCCTCAGCCTCCCGAGTCACTGGGACTGTGCCCCACTTTCACCTTCTAATTAATTTTCAATAAGCATAAATGCTTCCTTAAGTAAGCAACCAAACCACAGGCAGCAACTCATGATTTGTTCATAATGCCACATTCTATATATTTGACATAAGGATAAATAAGATACATAGTTATCATATATTTGGACGAATAATTAAGCTTTCTTTCGATTATTTTAGTTCTTAAGCACTGACTTTGCCTGGTATTTCATGTTAAACTTCCTGCTGTGTTTCACTGTTAACTTTGAACACTGCTGCTATGTAGGAACTTGGGGTGAACTATGTGTCATTCTTATTTACATTTTATGGTGTATTTTGAAACATAGTTTCAGGTATTTATTGGTATTCAAGGATTTGGCATAAATGTGTGGCCTGATGAAGGGGGTTTGCCAGGTCTTGTGACTTGGCAAAGAAAGAAAAGACCTTAGTGGAATGAACCAATGTCCTCCTTTGCTGGAAGATAAAGCCTAGAGGAGAAGAAAGAGCATTCATGGACTGAAGTGTAACACAGCTGTGAGTTTGAATCCTGCCACTATGTGATCCTGGGCAAATTCACTCCTCTGAACTTTATCCACAACATTAGGACAAAATTATCTACAGTAGAAGCTTTGGTTAAAGAACATATTTCGTGGTTATGAATTAAAAATAATGTGCAACTCTTCAAATTAATAACCTTATATTTTTTAAACACCATCAAAATGACATGAATCTGGATACAAATATCATCACAGGGTGCCTCTCACCCTGACCTCCCAGTCCCACTCTCCAGAGGCCACCACCACTGGAAGTTTCCTAAGGACCTCTGCAGACAATTTACATATATACACAACGAAGAGTTATGTATTCAGGTGAGACGATTCTAAAAATATTGAGTTGTTCACATTATCTTTCCCTCTTCTCCCTCCTGTTTAACAAGTAGTCAAGGTTTGAAATTCTCTGCCTGTGGGATCTTGTGGTGCTGAAAACTGAAGCAACTGAAGTCCTGGACTCTTTCTGGGTTTGAGAGAGTCAAAGGCACCAAAAGGAATATGTTGAATGGATTATGCTGGGTGTCTCGAGGGCTCTGGAAGAGGGAAAGAGTTTTTGTGTGGAGATGGAAACAGAGATCTATGGGTCCCACAATAATGATCTGGGACCTGCCCTGCCAAGGGTTTCCCATTCCCTGCCTGCAGCACACAGGCAATAGTCAAGGTTGAAGCCTTTATGGCAGACTCCAGGCATACAGTGTCCCAAGCACAGGCCTGCAAGCAATAGGACTTCTGGATGTACAGAGATCTTATAGGCTTGGTTTAGTAAGGGCTTGTTGGTTACCAGGGTGGACTGACAGTAATGACCCCAAAGGACTGACCAATGTTAGGGTGCTTTGTTAACAACCCTGAGAGCTAATGAGCCTGCCAAATGGCTGAGGCTGGATTTTACATTAGCTGAGAAGTATGGAGTGTTTGCATTTAAGCTCACATGAAATGAAGAAAAAAAATTAAAATATTTCTTGCAAAAATATAACAAACAAGACAGAAAAAACAAAAACACACTAAACTATATTCTTAAAAACAAACACATACACAAATGGTTCTTATACACATTCTGGAGTAGAGAAGCAACAAAATAAAATAAAAAGTTTATAACCAAATAACTCATCTGGATTCCAAATATCTTTACAATACTTTCACTTATCACTACACAATTTAGAAGACATTTTGCATTATAACAATTAGAGAGGTAGTCAGCTCTCAAGAGCCAGGAAAGTTACCCTGATCCAGGTAATATATCTTTCAGATTCTGTACCAGCAACAGATTGTTTTAGATTATTCTTTGTTTTAATTCTGTCATGAATTTTGCAGATCTAGGGAGCATTTAACTACCAAGAGTTTGTTTCTTTGCACCTTCTCCATGGAGACTCAGGATCTTGCTGGGTCAGTGGTTTGAGATGATCCCAACTCTACCAAGATCCCACCTGGGGTCTAGTTTGAGGCAGGGCAGGAAGAAGTTAAAGAAGGCTCCTAGGAGCACCTGTGTTGCAAGGCAGGCCTGCAAGGTTTGTGCCCAAATGCCCCATCTTTCCTGGGCTGGAAGAATCACACAATGAACCCAGACCACAAGTAGGTTTTTCAGAGCTTGCTTTTCAGTATAAAACCCTTTGATATTGTAACATTATAAAAGTCAAATGGGAAATTTCTGTTCATTCAGAGTCAAAAGGAAGAAAGAGATCCCATGGAGTCTTTATTCCATAAAAGTGGCCCAAATCTAAAACCCTTCCATACTTTCTGGTGCTCATGAACTACCATACATAAAGGAAAGACACTGTTAATAGTCTCAAATACATGCTGAGTTCATTGCTAAGGATCCCTTTTCAGTCCATAAATCTTGCTCCATGAAAAACTCCCCATTCATTTCTTTCCTTTTGCTTGACTACTGCTATAATTTGTCTGAATCAGTAAAAATACAATAAAACACGAGACACTGACCTGTTGATTGAAAAGGCTTCCTTTCTTACTCTGTGCCCTTGTGTGCCAAAAGCGTTCTATGAAGCCATCACTGTGGATAGTTGCTTTGAGCGGGGATGGCAGAGGTGAGGGGTGGGGGGGACCAAGAGCTAATTAGAAATGTAAGCTGATGAGTTGAAAAGAAACATGGATTTGATTATTTTTTAAAACTTATGTACTTAACAGGGTAGGTCAGCTTAGAAAAAAGGATACTAAGTTGAGATATTTTAGGCATCAATTTAATAAAGCAATATTAAAATTTTACTTCTCTCTGGCTCTGAAAAAAATCTGATCAGATGAACTAATGGGTCATTAATGGAAGACTGACATTAATTTAAATAAAAAATGTGGAGTTGATCATGCACATACTTATCTCCACTGGATATCCTCCTAAATTCCCCCCTCCCCTTTTTTTTCTGGTGCTGGGGATCGAACCCAGGGTCTTGTGCATGCGAGGCAAGCACTCTACCAACTGAGCTAAATCCCCAGCCCATCCTCCTAAACTGGAATGCTCCTAAGCTCTCTGAGCAAAACTGTGGCTCTGGGTTTTCCCCCTGCATGCTTCCTATCTCTGATCCATGCATATAACATTGCTCTACCCAAAATACTGTAGTAACTGTCCGTCTACCAGTCCCAAGGTCTCTAAAATTCTTTATTCCAGAATCTGTCTTTAACTGTGAATCACCCCATGGGTGGCTGCTGGCTTGTTCTGCGCAGAGGCCCTAGAGAGTGATGATGAGCCAACTCCCCGGCGTCAGACTTCCTCTGTCCAAATCCTGCCCTGCTACTCCTGGCCACGGGCCTTGGGAAGACTGGTAACCTCTCTGGGATACCATTTTTGTTTTTGTTTTTAATGGTTTTAAAAATAGTGTCTATAGATAAGGGTTTGTGTACAATGCCAGTACATGGTACTAATTTTATTAGTACTTATTTATTTAATGTATATGTGCCAAGGATGCTATACACTTACAACTCGTAACAACCAAGCAAGTTCAGCATGATTAGTCCCATTCTCAGGTGAGCAAATAGAGGCTCATAAAGATCCAGACTTCAACAAGTCTTTGTAGCTTCTGAGCAGGAAGAAGTTACATTCCAACTCACAATGGTTTCACACCAAAACCTGGGCTCTCACCAGGACAGCAAGTGTCACATCTGGTATGAATAGTTTATTGTGTACTTGTACAAAAGCTAACTCGAGATTTTCCATATGGCATCAATTCTGTTGAAATAGTGTCACCTCAACTCTACAGCAAAGACCTTGAGGCCATGAGTTGATCATTTTATAGAGCAAGCAAAGGAACAATGCACGGAAGTGGAAATCGAAGCCCTTGGCCTAATGAGGTGGTGAAGATCGATGGGTCTCCCGAGCTACGCTGGCACATGAGCCATGGCCTGCAGTGCATGGGCACGACTGGTAGGCCCCCTCCCCACCTCAAAACAGTCTCTTCATCTTTGAGTTCTGTTTCTATGCACTTATATCATTCATCAGATGGTGTGTTTTTTTTGTTCCCTATAGGAGAAGATATAAACCAACTTTAGCACAGATATAAGTGACAAACTTATGTTCAAAATAAAGAGCTATTCAGCCCAAGAAAGTAGATTAATTTCTGTTTCTTAGTGGCACAGACCTGAGGTTTGTTTCTAGAAAACCAAGAGAGGCAGGGCCCAGACCTAACTTCCGCCTGGTAGTTGTAATAGTCATTGGGATGACAGGACTTTAAGTAAGACAACCTGTTTGCCCACTGATTGACACAAGATGGACAGCCTCCCCTGGACACCTTAACTTGTTTTTTGACTTAATAACTCCAGTCAGAGAAGAACTTGATCTTGGAGTTAGAGTCTCTTAGGGTCAGGTCAGATTTCAGAGATGTGGGAAGAGTCTTCTGCTTACAAACATATTTCTGAAACCCCTTTAACTGAGGAACACTCCTTTATTTCACAGTTAGAGACGACTTAAAAATAGATACCCAGGAAGCAGTGGCTGGCTAACAAATTCATCACATTGTTTAAGAGATTAGTGTCTTAATGTTTCTACTCCTAAAAGAATAAGTATTTATTTATTTTAAAATGAAGATAATGCAGGCACAGGGAAGTAAACTAAAACTCATGCATGGAAAAGCTTCTCTTCAGTCCTGCTCCTCCCCCACTTAACCTTCTGGTCTAGAAACACACACCATCAAGCTGCTCAGACACTTTGACAGAGATATTCTACACCCTCTATATTTGGAAAGTCTGAGGGCCCCAAGTGCTTGAAGGTCATGTCCTCTTTTATCTGCTGCCTCCTCTGCTTCATGGAATTCCATCTGAGTCAACCAAGCGCTACCTCTTCTATGAAATCTTCTCTGACTCCCTGCCTTGGCCAAATTGATCCATCCTTTTTGTG